CATGCACAATAAGTGACCCTCAATCTGTATTCTGCAATAAAGAATTCTCCTCGACCATCAGCGCCTTTTCGGAATATAGCATTATGTTGATTGCCAAGTAAATGAGCGAGGTAAAATGTGGCTGCACAAAAGTGAGCAGGTAGTTTGTAGCTCAGATGTTGAACTTTTATTAAGGTGACAGAACATTTTCAGACAACTGGGAGCTAGGTTTCACAGATTTTCACCAAGGATACGGAAATGCATCGTAAACAAGCGTACACTCAACGAACAGTAAGAGTATTGTACAGGGAATCTATTGGGATTGCTCCACAGTATTATGTGTAACATCAGAGTATCATTTTATTCATTGAGAAGCTGATATAAACCATGGAGTATGTATCCCTATATATATGAGAGCAAAGTGGAACATGGAGGGTGGTTTTGAATGGATGGGTAGGTGAATAACTGAGAGCTGACGAACCGAGCTTACGTCACATGATTGTTAGTGGATGGCCATGGTGAGATCAATAAACTTAGAAACTGTTTATGGGTTCACAATGGGGGGGGGCTGTTTTAGAGACGGATGACAATCGCGTTTACTTTTAAGGGTAGGTTATCCAAAGAGGTCAAGTCCAGATTTCTACCGACAGTTGATGGGGGCATGTTGCACTTCTTGAAAAAAAGACTTAAATCTTTAGACTTTCAAGCTTGGATTAGCGAATTTGATTGTTCAGAGGCACCAGACACTCTTAAATGTTATTGTAGATCATGGTAGTTACAAGCTCCAAACAGAACCCAAAGGAATCCAGCCAGTTTGGTTTCATCTTGTTTGCACTTATTCTTCATTATATAAACAGTGAAATAACAAGTGCAATACATAAAATATACATCAGAAGAACAACAACAACACGAAATTCGTAAAATAAACATTTACCTAAATATATCGTGATATCCCCATTCAAGGATGGGAGTTACATTTTGCTGGACAGGAATGTTATATGGTGCACTGTATTCTGAAAATGCTTCTTTCGTTAACGATGCTTTCAATAAGAATTTTGATCTTATCACAACCACCAACTTAACTTTCTTAATGGATATATTCCGTTTGCAATATTTTTAAACATTTTCGCGTACGAGCATAACCATACAACAGATGTACACAACAGGTTACAGCATATTCCGCAATCAGCATTGTCTATGATATAATATTCGTCATGAGCCGTTACCGATGTGTTCGTACTGATCAGTTTGGATTAAGCGTGCATCTATTTCCAAATGTTTTCGTCGTAGCGCTTGCTAATCACCAGGACCAACCACACACTGTTATGTACACCTTGTTATGGATGAGCAACAATTATTGGAAAAATCCTTCTAGTCTTCTTCCATACAAAATGAGAGATAACAGACAGACTATGAAGAACTACGTATGTTATCATCTTATAAAAATGTAATGCTACACCTGAAGCCCAGACCAAATTTCGATTGGAATAGATAAACCTACTCATTTATAATTTATCATAGTTCTTCGAATTCATTGCAGATCTTAATAACTTTTCGCTTCATAATTCGTTCTATTTTGGGACTAAGGTTTTGACAACATAAGTACATTTACCGAAACCTGCTTTCCATTAGACCGTGAACTAATAATTTACACTAATATCATCTTACCTGTTTGCAACACGCTTCCATATTAGTGCTCGTGAGCGAATGTGTGTTGGCGTCGAAATGTGCTTGGGGAATGAAAACTCACAACAGAAATAAACAATAGGATTGTAAGTTTTTATTGATGCATTGTTATCTTAACATATGCGTAAAGTCAGTATGAGAAGTGTGTTGCTCGTCCGTTATTCAATTGATTCTGAAAAATCAACGAAATCAAATTATTTTATTTCACTGAATTGAGCATTTACATGAGATGCATAAGTTAGAATTCACACACTGAGATTTTCCTGAAACAAAGGGACCTGCTTACCTGGGTGTGAAATTTAAAAGACAACTCACCCTACAACACGATTTGCGAGGTGTGCAAGAAATACTAATGTGATAAACACTGAAGGTTTGGATTTTGATACACCGTCTGAAACGGACAAGAAGGGAAACGATTATTTTGTGAAAGTCTCGATCATCAGGATTCTGTATTGATCACATATCTGCAACTTAGTGCAAATGGGAGATTGTTAGTTAGCATTGCGTCTCGTGCTTTTTATAGAATAATCGCTTTTATGAAACACTTACCCAACACATAGTACACTATTACATCAGTATTGGAGGTATCTCTGGAACGTCGAATTAGTTTACTAGGAACCGGAACCTTTCCCTCTTCCGCGTTTGGGCCCGGCGCTGCTTGCTCCGGACTAGCGGGTGGCTGTTTCACCATATTTCCTTTTCTATTCTCCGGTCGTTCCTCATTTGCTTCGGGATTCGGTGAGCTTCCTTCAGAATCAGTTTTTTTCTTTTTCTCTGGTTCGGAATTTCCTCCGTCCTTTTTAGCTTCCCCTGATTGATCAGGTTTTGGTCCTGCCGAATCTCCTCCCGGTTTGGTTGTAGGTGTCGTTGTTCCCGTTGTACTTGCTTCGGTTGTAGCTCCCGACTCCGCGCTAATTTCAATTGGTTGCTTGGATGTAAACTGATTAATTGTCCCTGACGGGCACAGAGTTTCTAATGTGCTCCCACTGGTAACCGTCACACATTTGGTTCCACTCATTGACTACAAACAAATGCATAACCCGGTTGTTACTCACTTAAGACAAATCCTTTTTAGTTATAACTACGTTTGAATAGAATCATTTGGACTTACGTTAACATAGACCTTCACTGCGTTACCTGAATCCGACGTGACTCGGTACTGACAGCCGGTGACATTGCCTTGCACGACAAAACTTTTCGCTTCAGTTGAGGCAATAACGTCTTTGCAACTCTGTGCCTCTGCACCTGATAATCGTTATTAAATTGAATTGCGCTCTTTACCGAGAATCCCGCTGACACAGAAAGTTATGAACAGGATTTTTACGATATTGGAATCCATATTCATTTGGTTATAGTTCACTGGAAGCCGTTGTGCCTTTATAAGGTATCTCGCACACAATTATTTGCAGGATGAAGGTGATTGGTAGCTTTCTCACTGACCATTCACGTGATTGTGAGATTCACCGACGTCAACGGACCATACCCGCTCGTTTAAGATATGACTTTTCAGGCAAAACCATGTTTAACGATGACTTACTGACGATATAAAAGACAATTGTTTTCACCATTTGTGAACACCTAATGCATAGGCATGTTTTCTGTCGTCTAACACAATCATGAACAAGTCAGTGTTCTTGTTTCCCGTTTTAGTACTAAAAACAGCACGCGATTTTTAAAGCGCAGGTTTAGCCAAAACATAGAATCATCCATTGATGTCTCTGTCTATTCAAAATGTCTGGTCTCACGGGTTCTCACATACCCTACTGGATCTCTCATTTTGTCAGCTGAGTAAATTTCGTTGAAATAACAAACGGTGCACTAACCGGGATCACTGCTTCCCGTATGTACCTATCCCTAAATTATCGTTTCTCTTTTGTTCCAAGAGTCCGCAGACTTTGGCATGAGGTATTCACTTTACATCTGGAAATGTAGCCAATTATTAGAAAGCGTAGTACCGGAATAACACCAAGCATCGGAAGTTACAACTATCTGGATATCAGATTTTGATTAAGCAGTTTTCTTCCAATTGGATGGTTGCCTGGATGGCCTTTAACCAGCCTTTCACTCACATGGAGGCTGAGTCGCTATCAAGTTGATTCATGTTGAACTATAAGGCAAGCCAGCATCAAAGCGATAGCCATAAAATCAACCATTTTACAGCGAAAACAAAAGACAACTTGGGCAAAGATGTTTCCTAAGAACTATTTTACCCTAACGGCTTGGACGCTAGCGCGGAATTCTGTTGAATTCATAGACTGCTTTACGCAGAATCACCTGTTAGTGCGATTTCATGACTGGATGTATTAGCTCATTTTATCTCGCAATATTTTCGTGGAGGAAAAGGAAAAAAAATTACTTCAAGGTTTTAAGTTATTTGGTCAGCATCCGTCGACCTAAACAGAGTAAACGACTGAATCATGACCACACCTAACGTACTTGGCTGCCGTCCTTTGAACTTACATAGTGGTTTCACATAATGGCTTCATGATTAATTCAGCAGTGCCAGAAATTCCTGTAGCATTTGGCGGATATTGCATGATTTTGATTAGGGAATTTCATTTGAGAGGCAAACACGACGCATAAAGGCAAAATCCATTCGAATCGTAGTTTCGCGCCTTGAAGTATTAATTCGGGATCAAGTGCAGCTCGGGTATTTCCAAAAATAACCACCTCATCAGAGACAATGCAACCGAAAGTGACGTGATTCGAGGAATGGATAAAACTCAATTAGAAACACACATTATTCTGATAATCAACATAATTTAGCAATCCAGTTCAGGATTCCAATATACGTTTGAAAACATCACCTCAACCTAATAAATCGAGTTGTGATGTTGATCTGGATATCCATCACTTTGCTTTGAGCATCGTCGAAAAACGTTTCTTGCAGAATTTGTGATGACTATTTTAGAAAAAACAGGTGTTCCCATCTTTTAATGAGTTTCACTAGAAGCAGTTGTGTAGAATTTACTGTTTTCTAGACAGACGGAATTTATCTTGAGGTGCAATTGAAGGTATTGCCATTATCTACTGAGATCAATGTGGACCAGGGAGTTCCATAGGAATTAGTGTCGTATCCATGGTTTGAGTTCGTATGGAAGATTTGCCGACATTATGAGACTTCAAACCCTTTGGATCGACCTGATTGGAAAATTTACTCACTCCACAGGTTTTACTCCAGTTTGGTTCGATTAAATGTGCACCCATGTGACCCATTACACAGAGGACCTTCGAATGTACTTTGCCTATCATCATGCCCCGATTTGGTTCGACGACATACTTTGTACTTCGTAGTTATTGTTCACATACCGCCTCTAAGCGTTTCTCGTCCCGCTCATTTGTGCATAACCTACCCTTATCGTTCTTTAACTCTCGCTGTTCCACGCTCGCCATTTTCGTGCGTCAATACGTTAGAACCACCCTGGATCCGTTCCCCCACCCACGACTGGTTTTAGTTCATTGTCATCCCGTCCCTTTCATGTCGACCTTCATATTTGATCATTCGCTTCATTTGCAAAGCGGACTACTTTGTTTCATAGGATCCTGTGAACCGTTGGTGTGCCTTGCATTGACCAATAACTGCGCTCCTAGTTTGTATTTCTTTTGGAGACCGCTCCTCAGGTGATTTGTTCTGTGGCCTGATCCGCTTTGTATCTTGTTTTTATACCGTGGAGATCGGGTTAGCCCACAATTTGAGGTATGGTGCTTGTTTTTGTACATATTTGTCTGCTTACAGTACACGTAGATTAACGACGTCTCGTTATCTGGAATCGGACTTGGGTTTCGTATCTACGAGTCACTCAACCACTGGACGACAGTCCGGTACACCCTGATTTATTTTGGTTTAGTCAAAACTTGGCATATTGTCACAAAAGACCAACAAGCGACGCAGCTCGACAATGTTTGTACATAAAACGGTGATACAGTCAACATGATGGTCTGTGACGGTCATTGTGGTCATAAGCCTACATCGCGTACTTATTGATTCTAGTGGAACCAAGGAACAACGAGGTTTCACATTCAACAAAGACACATCATATTATAACACTTTTTTTGCATGCTACTAATTGATGACTTTAAAGTGGCTAGATCTGGCTCATAGATGGTCTCACAATAAACTATTTCTTGATCCAGTGCTAAATGGATGGATTTACCGCAGCAGTGCATGATAAACTGGAGGTTTTGACTTTATTGCACTGCGTGTGATCTATTGCAGTAGGCTGGCACTGACCAACAATAAATCCTTTTTCGGCGAAACACGAGGTATAACAACAATATTCGGCTCAACTTTCCTTGCTCTCTCCCAAATTTCCCTACATATATACCAGTATGTCGCTGGACACTTTTGACGCAGCGGAGATAAAGTGTGATTTTAAGGTGCAGAATATCATGCAGAATATCATCATCATTATTGGCTACACATGATTCCATTGCAAATCCGTTTTATAAGGCGGATAGGATATTTCATATATCGATATTAGCCACTTTAATAAGTTGTTCGATGTCGACATTAAAACGCATCAACTTCTTCCGCAGTATGATAGCTAACTGAGGTGACGAGGAAAAACAGTTCTGTCTCACGGTAGGTTCAATACATGTCATTACACGAGTAGATTGTTGATCCGGAGCACGTGGCATTTTGGTGCCTCGATAAGTAGGCAAACGTTTGAACATATCACAGCTCATTGTGTAACAGTTGTGACACTCCCGCCTCTCAGATCTCTTTCTCTTTGTGAAGATGTAACATCAGTTATCCCATAATCTGATCAAACGTAGATTATACAATTAATTTGCAATGTGTTAATCAAATATTTTCTTCACTTGTTTTCAGTGTTATCTTTTCTGGAGTGCAAGGTGTCTGAAACTTTACATAATGAAGAGATCTGTGTAAAGAAAGAAAGTGTTACCTCACAATTTGGAATCAGGTGGTAGATAATATGTTAACGCATCAATGAGTTATTCCTTTGCATACCAAAGAAAATGACAAAGATTTCATCGAGTAAAGGACAATCAAGTAAACACCGACCTTAAGTCTTGGCATGTTGAGAATCCGTGAAATTACCAAGCAAATGTTCGCCATTTGATAACGTGTTAAAAAAAGGCGCACTCGTTGTAAAATGAATTTCTGTGTTTTTGTTTATCTTGTATTAGTCGTCTTACTCATTCCTGGTACATGTTCAGTTGAATTACAAACCGAACGGTCAAAACTCGTTCATGACTTCGGTTATCTGAGAAGTAAACATATACTTGAAATCCTTTATGTACTTATTCCTGAATGTGTTCATCGAAGCCCGGTGGGGAACAACTCCGAGCACCATCTTGCGGCCACCAGGGTGTTTTCACAACCGAATCCTTGGATTTTTTGGGCTCTCTTTCGCTGGGTAAATGAAAGCTCATATATGACTCCCTAACGCTTGGGTAAAATACAATAAAATGCACAGCAATCAACATCTTTTAATGCATTCATAAAAAACCTCAACCTTAAGCAGCTCAACTGAATTATAAGGACTTCGAGTTTCTTCGATGATTCCTTCCTTTCATATTTGTTTTACCTGTCGCTTGACTTCATCCTCCAACGTTAGGGCAATTCGACTTGAAACATAGGCTCGAATTTTCCCTGCCTTCATTGGAATTCCGTGTTCGACCCAGTTACAGAACCCGTAGGGGTCATCATCGCCTGTGAACAGGTGGGAGTACCGTTGCACCACTAACCGAAATGAAGGGGATACATTCGTGTGAGTTGTTTCTTTACTCACGGTTGCCAACCTCTTCCCTTTGGAGCGTAAAAGCGGGATCGTGCCTAATTTTGTAACAAGCTGTTCGTTGTTCAGATCAACCACGACCCTTAAGCTGCGTAAGATGTCTGCCCCCACTATAGTCTGGCTCGTGTCTTTTGTTATGACGAATGCGTGCTTGATTATACTATTTCCAACGCGGACTGTCCGTTTGGCTACTCCGTCTACCTTCAACTGGTAATCCCCGACTGTTTTCACAGCTGTATTCCACGTATCCAGGGGC